ACTAGGTGCCTGAAGGTCACATTTGACTGGATGCTTCACTTGAGGTGGTTGTGTTATGCAGACTCGGAGTGGTAGTGCAGGTATTCGGAATAGTTCGTATTGACAGATTGCACACCCCTTTTATGCTCATGATCCGCTAGTGTGCATCTCGGTTATGCCTGCCGTTATTCCCTTTTTGGATTGTCTCTCTTTTCCGATCCACAGCAGTGCAGCATGCCTTCTTCTTCTTTTCCCCTTGCTTGCTGCTTGCTGTGCTTGCATTCATCTCGTCATCTTTTAGGAGATGCCTACCCCCCCGACCGTGAGCGACGGCCGCCTAGGCGGTCACGAACCAACCAAAATGTGTTTTTCAAGCACAAGCATCGCCACCCCTGCGTGTGATCCTGCAGTCTTTTGAGATTCCACTGTACGTGGTAATGAGGTGGGAAGGGGAGGACCCCGGCGTGGCAGCGAGGAAAGCGCAGGCGAGTCTGGTAAATGGCAGGATGTTTCTGCTGAGGTAGGAACAGAGGGTAGGTATCCGTACCGTGGACGAAAATGACGTGAGATTGTGTCTTTTTACCTTCCCTCAAGGTACCTTACCCAAGGTATGAAGGAAGAACCTAAAGTGGAAGGGAAGGACGAGAGAGAAATGGAAGCCAGGAAGGTATCTGAAAAAGTCGCCGGTCGGAGCCTGGATTGCGGGCCACGGCACAGGATACGTACCTGCCCTGGGGCGATGTCGTAGGTACGTACTTCGTACTCACAGAAAATGGGAAAATGGAAGGTACCCTACCTCACCTAGTCGGTCTCCATTGCCCAACGCGATCAAGGTTCATTTCATCCTGAAAGCCAAGCCAAAAGAAACCCACAAAATGCTAAGAACAAAGTTCGTCCACCTCCTCAACTTCGAACAAGACAGTGGGGGCAAGCCCTACATCTCGAACTTGACTGCGACGATACTCTTTTACTCCAGATCCCGCCTCCCCGTCTCCCAACTCTTCCTAAGGTACGGATGCTCTGGATCAACTATAGTTCCCAGAAAACGAGGACGTTTGTCAGTTGCTTGGTCGCTCTGGCGGCGCCGTATCTTAGCTTGCACGCCACCGTCATGAGGTGCATGTCAAACGTCGGCCCTAAATCGTATCGATTAATAGCAAGGCGGTAGGTACGGACACACCAAGTTTCCGTACAAAGGTACCCCGGTTCAAGGCAAAGCTAAAATGGTTACAAGGACGGACGGACCGTTTTGGCCCTCTGGCACTAAGGTACCTTGGACTGGTTGGTACATTACGGACCTTACTCCTGAGTCCTGCGAACAATATCCGCGCTGCAACGTCCCTTCACCCTTTGCCTTTGGACACGACAATCTTTTGATGCTGCAAAACAGCCTAACAGGTGGTGCTTGGCGCTTGGCTCTCGGCTCTCCACGCCATCCATCCATCTCAACCCCATTCTGGTCCAGCGCGTCCTGCCCCTCGGGTCCATTTGCCATCATCTTTTACGCACTCTAAAACTTGGACGCATGCTGCTTCACCTCATCTTGCCAGGACACTGCCTGCCCAAGGCACTTCGCCCAGCCTCATGTCTCTCGCTTTTCTCGCTTTCCCGCTTCGACTACCTCCTTACACACTCGGCACTGTACCTGTTTTTCTCTAGAGTATTCGTACCTAGATAGTCCAGATATTGCTTGACTCGACTCGCTACATACTACCTTGGGTAGGTATCTGTACCTCCTTGGCTTACCTTGTCAGTACCTTTCCATCAGACTAGGCAGGGGTCCAACTCTTCTTTTCTGCGACGGCCCGCCCTCCACCAGCAAGACTGAGGTGCACTTAGCTCCAGCCTTTTCTCCTTTCGCCTTTGCTTCCAAGTTCCAACCAGACAACAGGCTTCGTTGTATCGCACCTCATAACCCTTTGGCATCGGCGCACAGTGGCTGAGATATTCCGACCCTGAATATCCTTTCTCGCCGTTCCCTCCTTCTCTTCCATCATTCGTCCACTCTTTTGGCTGCCGTGCCTAATTCCATTCCCGCTATTCTCGACCTTTTTGGAACTTTCTTACCTGCCACTTCTTACCAAGTTCTTCCGGCGACACGACTACGCGCAAACCGCCAGTCTACCTTATTCCATCTCCCTCGAATTCTGTATACTTTTTCTCAAATCGAAAACCCAGCTATTAGCTACAACTTCCTTCCACTTTTTTTTTTTTTTTTTGGTGTCCGGCAACAAACTTCGTTGCCATCGCCGCCGTCGGCGCCCTTTGACCTCAATAAACGACGTGTGCTATCATGGGATTGAGCCAAAGACGGAATGACGTTTGTATAAACCCCATTGTCGCCATCAATATGTTATCCCGTCGCGCCCTCACCGTTCTCGCCCTCGTCTCCGTCACTGCAGTCATCTTCCTCATCTCTTCGAGGAGACTCGGCGGCGACTGGGCGATAGAAGGTCCCAACTACCACCCCTTCAAAGGCCACAGCCCACCTCCGCCTGCTGGCAGCTCCCCAAGCGCAGGTCACGATGGCCGTCCTCCGCCTCCTCCGCCACCTCCGAGCTACCAAGACGACCGCCTGGCACAGCACAATGTGTCGAACCAAGACATTCCCTACCGTCCTCACGACCCCGTTTGCGATACCTTCCCCGACACGAGCAATATACTCGTCATCATGAAGACGGGCGCCACCGAGTCCTTCGACAAGGTTCCCACTCAACTCATGACCATGCTCAAGTGCTTGCCCGAATACTTCATCTTCTCCGACCTCGACCAGACCGTTGCAAACTACCACATTCGGGACAGTCTTGACAAGGTTCTTCCCGAGGCCATGGAAGGTAATCAGGACTTTGATCTCTACCGCCGCCAAAAGGCCTGTCAGGCCGACCAGCAGAGCTGCAACAAGCTGGCTGTAAGCAAGGACGAGGGTTGGAATCTCGACAAGTACAAAAATGTCCACATCGCCGAGAAGACGTACCGTATGCGCCCCAATTACGATTGGTATATCTACATCGACGCCGATACCTACGTGCTCTGGCCCACGCTTGTCCAGTGGCTCAAGAACCTCAACCCCAAGAATAAGCACTATCTCGGCAGTGTCACCATGATTCGCAACTTCGTTTTTGGCCATGGTGGCAGTGGCTACATCGTCTCTCAGGCGGCTATGCATGACATGATTGCGGACCATGAAGATGTTGGCAATAAGTGGGATGTTCGTGCGAGCAAAGAATGCTGCGGAGACTACATCTTTGCGCTAGCTATGAAGGATAATGCCGACGTCAACGTCCATAATGTGGTGAGTATTCATCATGATCTCTCTGTTTTGTACGCAGCTTGGACTGACCGTTTCCCAGTGGCCTACAATCAACGGCGAAAAGCCCTTTACTCTGCCATATGGTCCTACTCACTGGTGCCACCCCATCGTGACAATGCATCACATGAATGCCGAGGAGATCTCCACTTTCTGGGAATACGAGCACAAGCGCTACTCCGACCCTAGCCTTCCCCAGCCGCCTCCAGTTATGCGCATCAAGGATATCTATCATGAATTCTTCGCGCCTCGTATGCAGCCTGAGCGCGCCGATTGGGACAATCTGGCCGATGACCGATTTTTCCTCGACGAATCCGCCAACAAGCACCAGGATTGGCAACTCAATCGAGCCAAGAAAGAAGACTTGACAGAGGAAGAAAAGGTTGCACACTTGTCCTTCGGCAATTGCCGCAAGGCCTGCGAGGCCGACAGGTCCTGCTTCTCATTCCAGTACAAGGACGGCGTCTGCGGCTTCAGTTGGGCATGGAAGCTTGGTCACCCGGTCAAGCGCGAGTCTACGGACGAGAAGCGCACCATGTCCGGCTGGGCTGTAGAGAAGATCAACGCCTGGATTGAGCAGCAGGGCGAGTGCGGTCCAGTCAAGTGGCCCGATGTCTGAGGTGAAAATGCATCATTCATCACCGACTTATGTGTCGACACGAAACATTCACGTCGCCACGAAAGAGCAGCGCCAAAGGCCTGCCTCTATGCAAACACGGCTGCTATCCAAGGCTTTGAGACGTGACGTATGTTTCACGTGGGGCCTTATTCCATGTCTCAGCACGCCAAGGACTTGGATACGGGATTCATGGACATGGTAGGGAACATACCCCCCTCCTCTGGAATTCCCTTGACTCGGGATTTTCTTGCCAGGGAGAAAACAAAACATTTCTCATGGAAGCCAAATCAGCCAGTCGTCTATCGGTCTGGCATCTGTATAGAACCGCAGGCATGTGTGTATTTTTTTTCTTCTTGTAGTGTGTGTATATCACCATCATGACGTGGCAGGCGAGGCAAGACTTGGGTTTCGAGACGACTTTGGCGTTTATTTGGAAAAGACGTCTAGTTCTTCATTGGCCCTGGTTTGGGAGGCCGACGGAGGCAAACGGTCAGAGCGAGCGCTCGCAATAGAAAGCCTTTCATTGTTCATATTACAGTACATATCCAGATTCCGATTCAGACATTGTCATTCAGCACCCCTCTGTGCCTAGTTAGCTCTGTCTCAACCTCTCCGAGATGAAATCATCTCGAAAACTGAAGGAATGGTAGCGAAGAAACGAGGCCCGGAAGCCGACGAGGTGTGAGGCCTGTTGCTTCCAAGTAACCCAAACTCAGATCTCGGCTCGCGCATTCCACTGATGCGCCACAGCTATTTAAAGACGGGTAGGTAGGGCAGAGAATCGGCAGCGGGTGGCTGGAGATGGCCAGACATCGCATGCCTTGACGAGCTTCCCAGGGGCCACACCGATAAATCGCGGTTCATCCCGGCATTTTGCATGAGGTACCGGTATTGTCACTGGTTCAGTGTGTACATTCCAAAACTAGCATCACAGCACAAGATCGGGCTGGGTATTGCCGCTTGACCCAGGTCGGGTGGAAGACGGCAGTTCGGCATATCATACACAAGACATATCGAGACGACTGTAGTTGATCATAACGTCGTAAATTATCCATCCATGCTCCGTAGGCTACCCTCGTCTGCACTGCGACTTGCTCATTTGCTCATCAACTCTGCTCCGCTCCTGATAACGCCCACCACAGCTCCCGTCTGCACTGTCTCGCTGCCGCCGCCGGCCACACGGTGTTCGATATCCGCCAGCCCATCGAGCCACTTGATCATGATTTCCGGCTTGACCTCGAGTGTTGTCAGTTGCTCCGCTAGAGCCGTGATGATATCTGCCAAGGCGAGGCCCCGAGACACCTTTAGGGTGTTGATAGTAGTCAGGCAAGACGTCACGTCTGTTGTGCTCAATAAAACATCCAAGATCTCCTGCACAGCGTCGGGCTGAGGGGCGGCGATGCAGTTATATATCGTATCTGTAGAGATGGTTTCCCTCACAATGTCGGCCTCGGCCACCTTGGGTGCGTCCTTGGGTTGCAACGGGGTACCTGTGTTGTTAGCATGCTCTCCAGGGCCATTGTCCAGAACCAGATGAGTACTCACTTGACGCGTGACAAGCCTGGAGCACATTGAGTGCTCTTCTCATGTCGCCCTTGCTAAGCTTCACCAATGCTTCCGTGGCATCGGGAATGATTTTGACGTGCTCCTCCTCAATCACCTTATCCACCAAGACCCTGATATCGCGCTCCTTCAACGGACTGAATCGGAACCTCGTGCATCTTGATAGCAGTGCCGGTGAAAGCTTGTGTGAGTAGTTTGCAATGATGCAGAACCGCGTGTTGACAGTGTACTTCTCCATGATGCGACGCAACGCCATCTGCGCCGTGTTCGTCATAGCATCGGCCTCGTCGAGGATGATGAGCTTGTACGATGCCATGCTGCCACCGCTGCCTGATTTAGCTGAGGGACCGAGAGTGAATATTTGTTTTGTCGAGGCAAAGGTCTTGATCTGCTCGCGAACGACGTCGATGCCTCGATCATCTGAAGCGTTGAGCTCGAGAACCATCTGCCGCATGTTCTCGGTGCCATAGATGCGGCGCGCGAGGGCGAGGATCGTCGAGGTCTTGCCAGTTCCCGGGGGCCCGTAGAGGAGGAGGTGAGGAAGACGATTCGAGTCGACAAACTTGTTGATGGTGGCGAGAATATCCTGGTGTCCGGACACATCGTTAAGGCTTACTGGGCGGTACTTTTCAACCCACGGCAGACTGTCTTCGGCTTCGACGGGGAGGTTGGCGGCGCTGCGCTTGCCCTGCTTGGCGTCTGAGGAGAAGGTGATGTCCTTGGACACGGGGACGTCGACGTCCATCTCGTCTTCGAAATCGGACATATTGACTGTGCTGCGGGGGAGGTCGGTTGGATGATTTGCGGAGGGGACGATGAGGTGGTGAACTATGAGCTCCAACGTACGGATTGGGCACCCCCGTGCAAGCGGAAATTAGAAATCTTGACGTGATGCATCCGCTTGGAAGACGCGTCGCAAACGCGTCGAAGAATGGCTCTTCACGTGACCACTTAAGCTTTGCCGAAGGGAGCCCCACGTTTGATGGAGGGAGAAGGCGGTCAATGTGATCGGCCCCACTGTCCCTCCGGTCAGCGATCTTCCATTACATAAACGAAACTACCCCCCCGTCAAAGTTGGAGTTTTGGACTCACATCCCAAATCACACAATAGCCACAGTTCCATCCATGGCCCAATATTGTCACTTATGTCCCTACGTACCTTAGGATCTGGCCAAGTCGTGTTTCGGGCCTCGCCCTCTGTCAGCCTGCGAGCCTGCTGAGTTCTGCCTCAAAGCATCTTAGCAAGTGCTGTGATATCGTGCAAACCCGCAGACATGTCACAAACATGTCAAGTCTGTATGACTACTGTCAGACTTTAGCCTCGCTCTTGCCATTGGACAAGGACAAGAATTGCCGTGTGTCTCCCGACTCTCACGTTCTATCTCAGACAAAGGCCCTTGATTATGTTTGGGCTGTCTAAGTAACCTTTCTTGCTTATGGATACGTTTCGGGGAGATGTCTCCGCTCTCCGCGCACACAAGCTGGTCTTGAGGTGATGCATTACCTTACAGAAAACCCGTCCGCAGTCGAGTCAAGGATTCCCGGTGGAACGCCATCTGGGGATTTTGAAGTTGGGGTGCGTTTGGCACCCCGCTGTTCACATCGTATTAATCGGCTTCGGCCTCAGAGTCGTGCCATGTCTTGGCCATAGCTGCCAGCCTTGAAATACTGGGCTAATTCCTGGATCTCTTTCACTTTCGAGGTCACCTTCGTCTCATTTCTCCCACCCGAACCGTCTCACCCGCCGTTGAGCCTCGCCAGCACCCTCATATCCACGGTTCCTCATCACCTGCCTTGGCATCTGATCTGCCGTCCCGCTCTGACGCTCATTCCCTTCGTCTCCCACGTCACCGCCGATCTTCTCATCCAATGGCGGCAGCACCCGTCGTTGTTGAGCCGGCCAGGCTCGAAGACGCCCCCGCCATCGCCGAAATTTTCTTCAAGTCCTTCAAGAGTGACTTCTTTCAGACCTTGTTCCCCCAAAACGAATACGGCCGAGCCTACATGACCGACGCCTACAAGCAGTTCATGCTCTCCAAGGAGCACGGCTCCCAAGAAGGTCAAGTTGCCGTTGTCAGGAACGAGAAAGGTAGCGAAAACTCCTCGACATGATCACCTCCGCCGGGTGTCCGAACCCCGACTTTGCCTTACCCTTACCGGACTTCGGACTCCCCTGAGTTAACGGCGCCATGTGTATGCGTACCTTGTTTGACTGACAGCTGTCTCGTTCAAGGCGAGCCTGTAGCCACCACCCTTATCTGGATCATCCGCCCCGAGGACAACGGAACCTGGTCGTGGCGAAAGCGATGGCCGTCCGCTAATGCAGGGCAAAAAGACGAGCTGCTTGATGAGTTCTTCTCCGACATGGCGTCTCAGCACGACCGTGTCATGGGCAAGGACCCTCACGTTTGTACGTCAACTCTTGACTCCCTGGCCGGCCGGTTCGCTCACCACGAACAAGCCTCCCGCTGACAATCTTGCCGGCCGCCCACCCGCAAAACGCTGACCATGTGCCAGACTTTGAGCTGATTTTCACCGACCCGGCCTACCTTCGCCGGGGCTATGCGAAAGCCCTTCTCCAACAAGGAACGGAAATTGCCGACAAGCTGGGCTACCCAATGTATCTCGATGCCGAGCAGTACATCGTGGACCTTTACTCATCAGCAGGCTTCTTGACCAAGACTGAAGTCGGACAATCGTCGCAGATGATTCCCATGATGAGGCCAGCCAGGGGCTGAATGAAATGAAATGAAATGAAATGGCGCTACTGCCGACTATTGACTCATCCTTCTTTATCATGTGTCATCACTTCCAGCGTGACAGTCCGCCATCAGTGGAAAGTAGTCATGATATGTGAATAACATACATCAGACGGATGCCCAAGCGGCTTCCGTAAGCAACTCGCTCGCTTCGCTTCAATGCTTTGCTTCTTTCATTCCTTATCGTCTCAAGTCTACGCTTTTCATGCCTTCCTTCTCGTTTCCATAAGGCGGTGATGCACCCCAGTATTGCTGCCGATACTGCGCGTCGGCCCTGGCGTCGTATGCTTGTCCGTTGTCGAACTGAGAATACATGGATGGCCTCGTGGGACGTCTCGGCGGCATCTCTGGTTCACCTATCTGGGCATACATGTCCGGAATGTCAGGGTACGCTGACGGCGTCCTCGGCGGCCGTGGTGGTCGGTTGATTGCATCGATGAGCGTTTGCCTCCTCGTAATTCTCTTTGGCCTCTCCGGCAATGCTGCATCTTCGGCGTTGGTACCAGACGACGTTTCGTCTGACTCTTCTCCAGTATCCTTCTTTTCTTTATCCTTCCCGGCGTCCTTGGTGGCGAAGAAAATGGTGAATACCATCTCCATGTCTTCCGGTCCCTTTCTCTCGCGCATAATCTGATGAGGCACCTCCAAATCGTCAATGAGCCGTTCAATCTCTTCGACAGAGTAGCTGCCCTTGTCCCTGTCGCCAGAGTAGTCCCCGGGCCCACTTGCTCCGTTGGGAATGTGGAACCGAAGGTCAACTCTCATGATGGCGTAGAGTGCGACAACTATGAGCTCAAAGAAGAACCCCGTCGTGTAGAATACTGCTTTGCCGTAAATCACGCTCGGCGTGGCTCCTGGTAGTTCCTTATTGAAGACGGCGAACAGACGAATGGACTGTCCGGTAATCAAAAGGAAAGAGCCCAGGTAAAGCAGGGCCACTTTGACTCTTTGTGAGCCAGAACCGAACTTCTCTGGCTTAGGCCCTGGCACAGAGAGGCATCCGCTTACTACAAGGACAGGGAATATGGAGAGGAACGTGTTCCATGAACTTCCGAATTTGAGCAAATCGTCTGTAGTTTCCAGGCGATCTACATTGCCAACACTGAAAAACGCAATGATTGTCGACGTCATGTTCAGAATGATAAAAGCCGGAACCGAGAAGAGCAGAATCAAACTGAACTGACTAAACGCGGTACACCATCCGGCTTTCGGGTGGATCGAGCGGACCAGGCGTTGGGCGAAGAATATGTTAACGGCAAACATAAGAGCAGCACTGAGCATCATGTTAGCAAAACGTTCATTCCTTTTGAAGCTCAGCCCTCTTAGCTTACCCTCCGTTCTCGGTGATCAACGCGAGCAACACAACCCCTCGGGTCGACACAATCGACCATGTGATACGAAAGATGCAAGTAACTGTTCGGATCATACAGAAGTCGAAGACGATATCTGAAATCAGGAACTTGTGACCACGTTTGGCATTCCTTCGGTAAATACTCAAGTGCACGTACGCACCAAGTATGAACAACACCATGAACATAATGGTGACCGGCAAGTCGATATTCTTGTTGGGTATACCACCCGGGAACGCTCCGTTGGCCGGATCAGGAGGTCCCATAGGAGGCCCGCCGGGAGGACCAGTCTGAGCCTGCGGGTTCGGGCTCAGATTGGGCATTCCACCCCTCTCTGGCCCCTGAGCACTCATGATCGGGTTGAGAACTGGCGGTGGTGGTGGTAGATTCGGAGTGCTGAGGAGTGTCGTTGCTAGAGGTGCTGCTGCTAGGGGCGGCGGCGGCGGCGGCGGAGAAGGTGAAGTAGCAGCCAACTGTGGCGTCGTCTTTGGAGTCGGTGTTGAAGGCAGTATCAACGGTGCTGGTACAACTAATGGGGCGGGAATCACAAGTGGCACTGCATTGGGTGCTTGACTCTTGGCCGCAGGAGGAGGTAGAGATGGGAGTCTCGGTGGTTCTGCTTGCTTTGGTGGCGAAGGAGGTTGGACCTGGTTGGGCGATGAAGGGGGTTGAACTTGCTTGGGTGGTGAAGGAGGTTGCGCTTGCTTTGGTATCGGTGAAGGGTGAATCTGCTTCGGCGGAGATAGCGGCTGTATCTGCTTTGGAGGAGGTGGTGGTGGTGATGGAGGAGGAGGAGGAGGAGGAGGAGGAGGAGGAAACGGTCGTATCGTTTGCGTAACAGTGATATATGACGGGGCAGCAGTCCTGACTTGAGTGTATACGATATAATTCGTCTCAACAATGACTTGTGGAGGTTGAAGCTGGCCAGCAACCGACGGTATACCCGCGTTCGTTATGGAGGGGATTTGAGAAGCCAAAGTTGCTAGTGCTACGGCCGGCGCGGCAGGTCTCTGCGTATTTGAAAGGGGCGTTGATGACAACAGATTTGCTGCTGGCTTTGGTACGGATGCCGCCACTTGTGCTAATTGGAGTGCTGGTGATGTAGAAGCTTGTGCCGCCTTGACAACTCCCTCCGCAGCAACGAATTTGAGAGATATGAGAGGAGCGGCGGCAGACAGGAATCCAGCAAAACCGGCCATGACTGCTTTTAGAAGTGAGGCACGCTGCCTTTTTTCGTCTTCGAGACCCTGCGGCCTGCCGGATCAGGGGTACGGACAGGATGTCGGCTTGTGGGTACAACCAGCTTTGAGAGATGTTGCAAGCAGAAGACAGACTAGACAGGAACAGCCCAATGCGGGTAGAGAGTCTCAGGTGAATCCCTATGTGTAAGAAGCCGTATCCGGACTTGAGTCAATGGTTGAGGATGACAGACTCCAAGGTTGCATTGCGGCTCATGTAGTGACGAGCCGCAAGTATGGAATAGGCAAGCGGGCCTCCTAGTAGTAGTAAACTGACCAAGGCAGTGGAGAGTCTGCGTTATGACCGGCTGACGACGTGTTGCGGAATTCCGGACTTGAAGAGTGCCGCGATGGGCATGCCCGGATAGGGCATTAGGGCAGTAAGGCTGATGACGGCCAAAGGCGAAGCGTACGCAGATCGGGGTCGTTAATAGAAGAAAGTCCGGCCTTTCGATTCTCTGAGACGTTCTGGCTATGAAGAAAATCTTTATTGGATGGGTGTATTCCTTATGATTTGGCCACGGGGTATTCGACTCTTCAGCAGCAAAAAACAAATTGCCAGCGTATCTCGGTTAAGTGTAGTGTCTCTTCGTTCAACGATTTGGCACTTTTTCTCGTTCTCTTTTTCGAAAAAGGGAAAGAAGGTGATAGAAAGGATATTTGGTGCTAACGAGACCCTTATTAGAATGAATGTTGCCGCATCTCATCCCAACCATACTGTCTTCACGCTCCATCCTTCTCACCTCTTTCTCCTCCTCTTCCCTTGTACAGACTCCTCTCCCGAGCACTCACAAGTAGCTCGCTGCGACGTTGAACCAGTATTCAGCAGCGGGCCGGTATTAGAATATTGGTGAGGTGTGTTTGTAGACTTTCCATCCACTTGCCTCAGAGGGCAAGTGGAATGAGGCAATTCGTTTCAGACGCCGTTGGGGAACAGCGAACTATTTCCCTTTTAGGACGAGAAGGCGGTGCTCTCACCGCAAAAAGTTGCCCCCGACTAAGCAACTCAGCAGAGAAGATGACCTTTTCATCCCGTCTTTTATGAATGTCTTGCCTGTCGCTGCCTGTCTCTTGTACGGGTCCAGCCCACCTGGGCTGTCTGTTCGCACCCCAAGTCATAAAAGTAACTGTGACCCATCCTGACGGGTCTGTCAGCCCAATAAGGCAACCGGCTGTCAAGAATGTCTTTGCTATTAATCATTCCGTCATCTTCCTACTCTTCGCCGTTGGAAGATGCGAGCAATGCGAGTCCGACCTGATGCTACGGCTGATTTCCCTTCCCGAGCTTTCGGACTGACTGCAAGGGGTGAATTATTGCCCGGAACTCCTCCATGCACGCTTTTGCAGTAAGTTCGATACTATCAATCCATGACTTCCGGGCACATTTTTCATGTCTCTTGAACGCTATTTCTTCCTACTCGACGGGCCGATCTTCCAGCGAGCAGTTTCCATGTGTCAGGTCGAGGCGAGCTTGGCACACACACTAAACAGAGCAAGAGACTTGAAGCACTGATCAGTGTGTGGATGTGAGAAGATCTTATCCAGACATTCGTTTATCCTGTGGGTGTGCCGTGTCAAGATGTCTGAGCTTGCGAGAGAAGCTTTTCTGCTTGACAGCGTCTGCTACTGCCGCGATGGTTGACAGGCGCATCGGCCTCAATGATCTTCCCGCTCCCCCGTAAAGTTTTGGTGTGGGAGGGTGGTCATCCAGATCCATGGAGGCTCCGGAGATGTCTGAAATGCAGCTCGGCCACATAGTCGGTCTCACAGCCGGAGAGTTGAAAAAGTAGACGCCATCGGTCTCGGTTACCCAGCACCTTTCTACCAGGGCGGGAATCAGTGGCCCTGCCCGCTGACAATAGGATCGCCACACCATGCCTGCGTCGATCTACCTTGAGCCAGCATCAAGCTTAAATCGTGCCGGCTGCAGATCGCGATGTGGCTTTTGCACAAACTGCCAGTAAGGAAAACGCTTGATCGTATGGATACACATGTACTAGGCGGAGGCTACTCAGCTATATGATCGACCATTAAGCCCCCCTGACCCTGACATATGCCGCACGGCAGCCCCTGTTAGTTTCGTACTGCGATACTTTAAAATGTTTTCAGGACCGCGGATAATGGGGCTGGGATTCGGACTTGGTACGGATACAGACCAACGCACACTTTACGTACTTGAACGTCGAACGTCTTGCTCTCATGTCCCCAGCGTGCCCGCGGGCAAGGACCCCAGCGTTGAAGACTGTGCACATCGGACTCAGCGACGTGAGTTGAAATCTGAAGCTTATATGCCTGTGCTACCGGTGGGAAACTACCTGCAAAACTCAAGAAAAAGAAGACCCTATCCGGCGCTGCGACAATACAAGGCATATCCCAGTCCCCCACCCCACATACCGGGCCTCTCGACGAAAGAGTTCCCGCGGCTATATCAAGTTTTCACCTGGTTCTTCCTGGGAAAAACTATACACGATGTCAGTGCTGGACGTCTGCCAGTTGCGTTAGCTGTCGGCCGATCGCAGGTCCGTTCCTCTGATCCGAATTCCGCCCACAGCAGCTACGGCTGAGGCGGCTCACTCTGTCCTCCACTCTGTGCGACTCGAGTTTCGAGAACAGGCATCTGATACTCGAGTGAGCGGGCTTTGCCAAATTGGACAGACAGAAGATCCCACTACGGACGAAGTTGAGGATCAGTAAGAGATTCCGACAGGCCAGCCGACCAGTATGTTGTACTAGGTTCCGCCATTTTTACGGCAATAATAAGTCATTTACTCTGGCATGAGCCTTCGAGTCAGCACGATTCCTATGCCGGTGTCTGAGTTGACGAAGCTCATTCTACTGTCTCGTCCCCGCCATTTCTCCAGCCAGCCAGCAAATAGCTAAATGCGCGTAGAGCATTGCCGCTTGATCCATGCAGAGAAATATCTGTTTTCAAATGTGGAGCAGGACTCTAGATTTTGGCTTGTCGCCTGGGAACGTTCCCAGCTTGACTGGTACAGTCAGTACACGGCCACCTGAATGTATCCTAAGGTATGGCAATGGTGCCGCGTCTCTGAGGAAAATTGGGCTGCAATGCAATAGCGATCGTTGGAGCCAGATGATGAAGATATGTACGCAAGCCCAATGCATCGCGCATCGCCTGCTAGGAGATTTGGTGATTCGATCAAAAGAAACTTTAGTGATATGTTCATTCTCGCCAATCACAGCATCAATCATCTCTTTCGCTCACGATCGATCCGCTCAGGAGAGCCCGTCTGCTATTATCCTCGTAGAGAGAGAGAGAGAGAGAGAGAGAGATAGAGAGAGAGAAGTTCCGGCAATCGATGAAAGTGCGTTGGGATGAGAATCTGGTGGCCTGGCAGAACACCACCCTTAGAGGTGTTCCACCAGCTCGGATTCTCATCATAGACTCAGTTCGGCAATCACAGAGAGAGACACCGAGACCGAGGATCCTGTGTAGGCTGTCACGTCACGTCAGTTGAGGAAAGAAACCAGACACGCGGGTGAACGCGTCAGTTTGGTTCATCGGACGACGGCTCCAGCCTGCAAAATTGCAGTGATTGGGAAGGTGTTCCTAGGAGCGAAGGGAAGGGAGCGCTCTTGCATCTGTCGGGTCTTGTACGAAAATGCCGAGAAAACGCCATGACATGTGAGCCGTATTCGGGGTAGCATGGGGAGTCCACAGAGCTTCTGTCTCCAAATCATCCGACGGTCTTCCTCGGGGTGATTATCTTCGTCAGATGGGCGAGTTTTCCCGTTTTGGGATTAGATAGAGCTCTAACTCCAGCTCTAACCCTCAACACTTCAGACTAAGCCCAGTATTTTTATGGTGTCATTTTGCCAGTCAAGTCCTATACAAATTATACGGATCCGTAAGATGACGGCGACTGGTAGGCCCGACAAGGAGGGAACAATAAGAGACGCAATTGGAACAGGATCTTGTATCTCAATGATTTCTGGCCAAACCCTCCCAACGATCTTCATTTGAAGACTTCTCAGCCGAGAGCAGGGGCTCTGAGCTGCCGATATGGACTTTGTCTAAACCGGCAGGCTTCTAGAAGACGAGGACAAGAAAGGCGCCAGACCTGTTTGGGTACTTTCATGCGTCGAATGATAGCTGACTAGGTTTCAGAAACTCCAGTCGTCTTCGCATGGAGTTCCGGTTTCACTCCCTCAGTTGTAGCGACGCTTGGGCTAACCGTTTCGTCTGATGTTATTGCTGCGCATCTTTACAACAATAATTCGCACTCGCTCAAGCCGCCGACGGGGAGGCATGCCGACATGTGCTGACAGGTTCTATCCAAGGTTCAGCTGTCGGGTTTGACGGTTGGCCGAACAGACTTGTGCAATAGGCCACCCTTCCCCCCAAAAGCGGCTGACATCGATTGAAGAAGCATCGTTCTCCGTCTCCAATCATACTATCGTCCATCCTCTCCAATCCTGACTCGTAACGTCATCTTCTGAGCTAGATGCCTTTTAACTGGCGGCGCTGCTGAATGTCACCAAAGCAAGCGGGGCGAGTTTTAGAGTTGAAACATATCAACTCCCTTGTGCGGCTTCCTCCATCTTGGATCAACGGCTAGCAGTCTGTTCTCGAGGTTCATCAACAGCCGCCCTCGGCCGCGTCTGACACGAGCCCGGTTCTGTCTGCCCATTTTCCTTTTATGTCTTAGGGAAGCACGTCCGCCCCTCTCATTCCTCCTCGAATTTCCTACTTTGATAGGGGGTTTCGCCCACATGACACAAACCCCGTCGAAACTTGAACCGTCAACTGGCCGTGGATCTCGCGCATAGCATACACTACCTATTCGAGGAAAGAAAAGCAGTACTACCGTACCATCAGCTTTTCTTTATTTCAAAGATGGTCAATACGGGTCACCCAAGCAGGGCATGCAAGCTTTGCCGCGCGAGGAGGATTAAGTGTGACGAAACGAAGCCCTTCTGCCTCAAATGCGCCAAGTCGAAAAGAACTTGCCCAGGATACCGGGACGCATTCGAGATCAACCTTCGCGATGAGACTCAATCAACCATCCGCAAGGCCAAGTCCGCTGCGTTGCGCAAGGCTATTCGAGAGGGTCGCGCGACGGAACAGGATGCGGAAAACGAATGCCAAACCCAACCACAAGTGATGGAATGGACACCGCCAGCAGCACCACCTCCACGAAAACAACAAATCATTCCAATCACAGAAGACGACTGGTTTGATAGATATTCAAATTCATCTTCTTCTGAAGCGTCGCCTTCAATGTCATACGCTTCTTCTTTGTCGTACATCAGCAATCAGGCGCCCGATACCTTTGTCTCATTCAAAGACATTGAAGGCGGGACTTATGGCATGCCGCACACATTGCAGACGCCTCTCGACCAACAAGCGACATGTTACTTTTTGGCAAACTACGTGCTTGCTCCACCAACGGGAGTAGGCAGAGGGATTCTCACATTTGTACTACCCCTACTGAATATGCCCAGCTATCAAGCGTCTCCATTGCAGTCCGCTTTTTCAGCTGTATCAATGGCCGCTCTGGCTGGTAGGCCAAACTCACGACGGTTGTCTTCGATGGCTCACCTACACTATAGCAAGGCATTAGAGGACTTGACTCGAGCTATGCAAGACAAGATAGCTGTGAGGCAGGACACCACGCTTGCCTCTGCAATTCTCTTGGCTTTTTACGAAGGACTGGTTTCAGACGACGTTGAAATGTCTGGTTTCAAGAAGCATATCTCTGGGGCGACTGCAATTGTCAAGCTACGTGGACCGCAACAGACTGCGTCTGGCGTTGGCTTGAGCATGTTTGAATTTGTTCGGGCAACATCGGTACGTCTTACTTTGACAAGCAATCGAAAGGCTGTATCAAAAACCGGTGGTCTAACGCGTAAGACAGGTCCGGCAGTACACCTTCTTTGCAAATATTTCCTTGGAGGATTTGACTTGGTGGGCACGGCAGGCCGTCTGCGACACTGTTGGCCACCAAGCTTTGGTATTGAACCTCCAGACGACACTCATCCGTGGCGAGGCCGACAGCCTTCTGAAGGGGGCACGAACCACCGACAAAATCGACAAAGCTTTGAAGCTTTTGCAGAGGGCACGAAAAATGGACGATGATCTCGGTGTATGGTTCGACAAGTGCCCACCAGCGTGGAGGAAGGTTATTTCAGGATCGGCTGCGGAAGTTCCGGAGGACAAGATCGGCTACGTTTCGGCGTTTCCCGGAACTATTTACGATTACCCGAACGTATGGGCTGCCGGAAAGCATATTAACACCCACGTATCTCGACTTCTGCTCAACCAGGTCATTGTGCGTTGCATTGCATGGGTCTGCGCACCGAGTGACCATACTCTTACGAAAGAGTATATTGACGCGAATCGGATCGGAACTGAGCAAGTGGCCGACATTATCTCCAGCACTCCGTACTTTTTCGGGTGGACGGGTGATGCTTTGAGTACCCCCTACTTCCCATGCGGGACATCCGAGATGCCAAAAGGCCTAGCTGGTGTGTCTTGTATGTGGCCCTTGCTAGCTACTGGATCGAGCCGATTTGCGACCAGAAAGCAACGAATATACGTCAAGGCCCGTCTTGCAAAGATTGCGGAGGAGATGGGTATCCGTCAGGCCGATGTCTTCTCAAAGGTATGCTGCCCACTCAACTTTCCAACTCAACGATTAACACAGCTTCGTAGCAAATCATGTTGGGGTCGCCAGAGCCAGACCCAGTCAACAGTTATTGTCCGGACACATATCTTCATTTACGTACATAGTTTAGCGTTGGCAATACCCCTCTCGCTTTGGATAGAAGAATCCTGTCAAAGATGAACAAACAGGCCGAACACCCCTATTGTGCCTGACAACATGCGTGCTGCTGGTGAATAAATAACGTATCAAAGCGACCACCGCGGCAGCAAATCCGAATCATCCCTGAAATTGAGGGACTGCATGCTGCTGTATATAAACCTGTAACTTTCGTTTCGAAAGTCATCTTTGAGGTAGTCTGTTCGACCGCTCAGAAACCAGAGTAGTTGCTGATTCTGACTCCATTCCGGCCATTGCGCATAACCGCCCAATCCGACGTTAGGATCCAAGTTGTAAAGGAAGTTGAGATAGTAAGTCCGGGTGCTTTGTCGTGCAAGGGTAGGAAAGATTCCTAGAACGACTTGCGGTATGTCGGAAGCGTGAAACGTACCAAGTACGGGAGTTCCGTGGTTGTAGCTGCTCAAATACGACCAAGCTGGGACTTCTGGGTGCTTTGCTTGAGCAACAGATAGAAACGAGCGGCGTGCTAGTGTGAAGACGAGATCCCCAAGAATGGCAGCCCTACGCTTGAAGCCAGGAACGATCTCGTTGAAGATCCCTGTACGAAAGGGACTCCCTGCAGAGATGTGGTGGTCATATGTATTGACGAGGGTGGTCAACTGGGCTATCGAAGCGTTGTGAAAGTAGAGCTCTGAGAGGTAGTTGACGAGTTGCGACGCTGTCATCACCAGAGGCTGGAACAGTGCGAACAGTGTACCCTCGTCTTCTTGGTTGCCGATGATCATAGGCACTGCAGCGTATCGTCCTTCTTTTGCGATAATATCGGGGCTGTCTATCAGTGCTGTGCCATCTGGTCTAGGAACATATGACAGAGCAAGAGCTTCGTATGAAAGGATGCCGGGCACCGCCGTTGCGGCACGCTTGTAAGTCTCGTAATCGACACTGCGCAGGCAATCCAAGGTACTCGCTGACCCTTGACAACCGGCTGCCTTAACAACAGCATCGTAGACTCTCTGGCCTTTGGGGCAGTCAACTGGGTCAGCTGGGATAACACTGCCAGAGTTCATGATGGCCCCTCGAAACAGTCGTCGACCCTGATAGGAGTTGTCACCGTCATACAGCGCCATCTGGTCGAAAACAGATATCGCACCGGCTGATTCCCCCCAAATCGTCACCTTGTCAGGATCACCTCCGAAGGCAGCGATGTTATCGGCAACCCATTCCAAAGCCTGACGTTGGTCTAGTAGTCCCAAGTTGGCTGAGCCATCCTTCAGGATTTCACGACCAGGCAAGAACCCGAAACCTCCCAGTCGATAATTCACAGCAACAAAGATGAAAGGACGGTCCATATCGGCCCCGTCACGGACAAAGCTTGCCCCGCTGTATGTAGCTGTCGACCCGAACTCGAAGCCACCCCCAAATATCCAAAACAAGACTGGAAGCATCGCATCGGACGATGTGCCAGAAGGACGCTGGACAGTCACCGTCAAACAGTCTTCCTGGCCGGTGATAGGCTGAAAGAATGGGAGCGTAAGAAACGAGCCAACAACATCAAGAAGAATGTTCCGGCTGTCGGTGGACAAGAGAAATTGAGGGCATGCGGCTGCGGTTCCTGTCGCGTCAAAGTTGCCTAAAGAGGAATTGAGTCTTTGAGGCGGCCTTAAGCGGAGCGGTCCGGTGGGCGGTCTCGCATAGGGGATGCCAGAGAACGTATCGATGGAGCCAAATACTCGTCCCTTGAAGGTACCGGCCGGCGCATCGACTTCCGCCGGAGCAGCACGAGATTCATGGTGATGGTGCTCAGAGTTGCCAGCTGACTGACCAGCTAGGAAGAGAACGACAGCCAGAACTGATGTGAGAGAAATCTCCATGGTGTTCTAGATGTCTGTAAGGGAGCGTAGAGAGAAGAATGGAGAGGGAAAGACAGAGGGGAAGCAATAGAGCGGGGGGAGGTGGTTGAAAGGAAATTTAGCCATGTAGAACAAGGTGAGCGATACTTATAGGTTAAGGCAAACTCAGGAGGATACCATCTCGGCCGAAGAAGAAAAGGAGTTTAATCTCTTTTCTTCAAGTCTCTCCTCATCTCGTACACGCCAGACATGGTCTTGGAGATCGCTCGCACCAGGCGGTGCTTCCCGCTTCCTAATTCGACCTTGACATATCGCCCCAAGTCAAGTGTGAGCGAAGACTCTTCTTGTCGCGGGTTTTCCTGGTTTACTAGCACGTGAAGGTGCCAAGGGTCTAATTACCCTGGACGAATGCAAAAGGTGTGTGGGAACTAACCGGTAGTGACAGGGGAAAAAAGTGTGTGTCGGCGGTCCGGAGGAGGTTGGCGATGACACACATTCCGAGGTTGCGAGCAGGTAGAGACTGTCCGACTGTGGTACCGAGTGAGGCAGTGATGCCGCTATTCAGGTGGATCGAGTGGGCGTTGCTACCTCCAGACCTGCGCGAGAACAAAAGAGTCGACGCGATGATACGCCTTTCGAAGCGCGGTCTTGGTTGCATTACCTAAATTCATCACGAGGGACCTTTTGTAGTGTATTGCTTTGATAACGTACCTTACTCTAGAAAGCCGTGGCGCTCTCTTCGTCAATACCTTAGATAACTTTATAATCGCCAGACAATATAACGTCGTGTATTCGAAAATTGATTTTATTGCAAAGCACTGATTGCAAACACTGGCTGAGTCTACTGGACTCTTAGCTTGTGTCGGGGAATCTAACGTAAGTCTTCCATCTGAATGCCTAAACAACCCATGCAACCGTTCGGAAAAAGTCGCAATTGTGTCCCTTCTTGCTTGAATCTCTCGGAGGGAAAAAAAAATCAAAAGCCCTGTGCTTCTGACCGTTGCCGGGTTCAAAATGCGTCTCGTCTATCCGTGTCAAGAATCAGTCATGATTCTCTCAGCTGATCCCACAACTCCATTTACTCGATGAACAGAACTAAATCCCTGGTTCCCATACCGTGGCCGCATCCGTAGCGACCTCGGAGAAATGCGATGAATGCTTCTCTCAAAAACGCCTCGTGGCTTCGTTATGCAATGATCAAGAACAGTGAACTTCCATCAGACGACCATGCCCACCTGCCCGCTTTCCTCGTCAACTAAACATCTTCGTTTCCCACTGAGAGGCATACCGTCGGCTGGAGCCTCTTCTTCGAAGCTGCCATTAAACACTTCAACGAGGGCCTCGCGATCTCTTCGTCGCTTGAGCTTGTCGGGATTTCGCTCCGCTTCCTCCTCCCATGTCTCGATGTTGTCCTCATCAAACTCTCCCACGACGTCCTTGCCAAGCGCCTTGCCCAATCTCTCCTTGAGTCCGAGGATTGGCCAGACGGGCACTCTTGTGTACTCGATGCGCATGCCACCCTCGGATGCAACCTCTCCGATTCTCTCAGCAAGTGTCTTTTCGGTCCCTCTACGGGGGTTCTTGGTTGGCTCGTGGAACTTGCGAAGCAGATCTGCCGTGACCGTGGCCTTGTAAACGATGAATTCGGATGTCTCATTGTCATTTGTGAGTAGCTGTACCGCCACATCGTAAAATTCAGGCTCTCCTAGTCCGATAGGCATGGGCCGTGAGGGAACCCACTTATTCGCTGACGGCCGTGGTTCGCCGTGAAACCTTCTCTGCGCCATAGCCAACATGATGCCCACAAGCAACGGGTCGTGCGTCGGGTTGCTGGGAACAAACATCTTGGAGCGCAACTGTTGTAGACGTTCAACCGGCCCGTTGTACGATCTGTTAGGTCCTTGGATCACGCGGTACATGTTCTTTCGTGTCGCCGCGATCTGCATCTTGCCAAAATAAGCGAGGACGGGCAGCGACTGAGCGTAAGCAGTTTGTTCGCCGCTCAGGTTGCTTGCGCTACCATTAGAACCCGTCGGCACAACAGTGAAGGATTCAGCTGGTCGCGTTGACGCGGATTCAAACGAGGCGATCGAGCCGCTGCGCGAGGGCATCGCATCCCAAGCAACCTGTACGCGACAGGCATCGCGATACACTAGACCGCCGAAATAGAGGTGCAAATCAAGCTGTGTTCGGGTGCGCGACAGCTTCCCCGGGTAGAGGGTGGACATGATTGTGCGGACGGAATTTGTATAGAAGGTTCTCGTGGAGCCGGGCGCGAGCATGGCCGTAAGTTCTCTGCTAAGTGTCGAGGCCGCAACCGAGGGCTTCATGTGACATTTCGACGGAGAGACCGGGGCGCCGCGTGGTGAAGGAGGAGGGACTGGCGTGTCGCATGGAGGAAGCTCAACGAACTTGGCATCGAGGAGTTGAACATGCAGCTCGGTCCAGCAGATGGGACGAACGAAGAGGGAGAGTCCAGCATGATCCCGCATCTGGTCGTAGAGAGACCCTTCGTCTGGCCTGAAGACACGAAGTCTTCTTTTGCGTTTGGCGGGGGAGGGCATGGCAGGAATAGGACTCGAGGTCGGGGGCGTCGCGTGAATGGGCTCGGGCGAGGACATTGACGAGGCTGTCGGGGCGCTGCTGGAGAGATGCATATTGGCGGGGGAGGAGTCGAAGAAGTTGCGCAGTTGTCGTGCGAAACTGGTGCTATTGAATACCGATCTGTGGTTTTGTCAACATGATTCGGATCTAGGTGAAGAGGAATGCAGGTAGGATCTATTATTGGGTGAAAGGGCACGAGTTGGATGGAACGAAAACAACGAGGCCATGGCAATAAAGGAATAGTGATTGGGGGGTCTCACTCTAAAATGAGCATCGGGTTGTGGCGCTCTCCCTTTGGTTCTTCCTACGTAGGTAGTATGGGTTTTTAGGGGGGGCCTTTGCGTTGCGCCGTGGGCCTGGTGTCCAGTTGAACCTTGGGCTTGGAGCCTTGGGGCACTGACGCGCGACGGGGGGATGATGGTAGTACTCCGTATGGCCCCTTCTCTTGCTTTTGGGGGTGTTGAATGGTGAGGATGATGGCCGGTGGATGTGAGGCGGACAGCAGTCGGCGCAACTGGGTGCGCGACGCGGTGTTGAGTGAGATAAAAGAGGATCCGGATCCGCAGAGAGATCGGAGAATATCCGTATGCAGTTTGATGTACGGTCAGAGAAGTGGTGCTCTGTGACTGGGTACCGATTTGTCGAGAATCTGTTGAGATCGACGGTGCTTGCAAGGGGTTTGAGGCTTAACCGTCGCTGTCGGCTCACGAGGCAGAGGAAAAAGAAAGGGTACGGGAGGGATGACGGGATGTTTGGTTACTGGTGTATTCCCATCCGAGACTGAGGAGACGGTCCTCCGCAGAGAAAACGGGACTTATTGGTGCTGAATATGACGCGCTCGGTGGGGAGAGAGAAACGAGACTTGGAGAGAAGAACCGAAGAGAGAGAGAGAGCAACATGAACAAGGGGAAGAGAAGGGAGGGGCAGTGAAACGCGGGTGCGCGAGTCAAATATTCCAACTTTTTTGTTCGTTGATTTCCTTGATTGTTGCGCTGTCACTTTTGTGTGTGTCCCAGTGCAGCCGGACGGTAAGGTAGGTAGACCCGACAGAATCCAGTGTGGTCACCGTGGCGTGGCGGCAAAAACTGGGCAGGTGCAGAGTTAGGTATTGACCCGTCACGACTGTCCGTTTTGTCAGTGCCTTCCTAATTCCCGTCCCCATCGCGATGGTGCCTGCCTGTGCCTGCGGCCTGCCTGCTCAATGTCCACCCGCGACTCCAACTTCTCCTTCCTCTTCCACAGCCAACCTGCAACCCTCGGCCACCAAAGGGCCAGAACACACGCGCCTGATCGGCTTCACACCTATTTGGGGGAAGGAAGGGCGCGACTTGCCACTGCCTGGCGCTCTTGGCCCGCATGCAACCGGGAAACTGTGACACGCGGAGAGTGCGAAGTCATGTGATCTTAGGCACCAGCCCCTCAAGCAATACGTACCGGGCATGAGCCATGTCATCGATTTTGTGGCTGCGCATAGCTCCGGAAATGCCTGAGTCATCACGGAAGCATTGATCTATACACGTGACTTATATCCACCTGACGCTCCATGTCTTTCTAGATCCATGGCACGTGCATGGAGATACTGCAGGTAAGTGCTGCGCCACAAATCTTGGACCCCACCCTTGAGTCTGAGGCTGGAGCACGCCCCGTAGATGCCGTCAAGCCTCAGAAGCCACAAGGTCCATTCGGAGCAGTGTGAGGTGGACGTCAGTCGCTCCCCGTCAGCTAAGTGTCGCGCCCCACCATCGGCCGCTTGCTCTCCATCTCCAGTGCAGTTGACGTTTCCCAACTGCATTTGCGACCAATCCTCATCAAGACCAGCTTAACATTCGACGACACCGAGCGCTCGGTCAGGCGTATTCTTCAAGATGCCGGTATGTCTGTGATGCTCATCCCATAGGTAGCTCGCCTGAGCTCTCTCTGTCTCTGAGGCTCTGGCACAGCCCGTACACTTCAACCTACTCCCCCAACCCGCCTAAACCGAGCTGATGATGACCTTTACCCAGGCCTACAATTCCATGTTCAATGCCGACCCGAACGTCCCTCGCACAATAGGCAACTTCCCGCTGCTGCCCTTGCGCACAAAGACCCGCGGCCCGGCCTATACTCTTCCCTTCCCCAACCCGCCTCTGCCCGCCAATGAGTCTCCCGACCCAGACAGCGAAAGCTACGACATCCTCGACGAGGTTCTCGCCCTATTCCGCGCCAACACCTTCTTCCGCAACTTTGAGCTTCAGGGCCCCGCCGACCGCCTTCTGGTTTACGGCATCTGGTTCGTCAGCGACTGTCTGACCAAGATCAAGCCTAGCGCCGGCGTGCGTGATGCTTCCAAGGATGTCATGAACGTGGCCCTCGATACCAACTTCGCCATTCCCGGCGACCCGGCATGGCCCCTGAACCAGGTACGGCAGCCTTCCGAG